TCGTGAGTTTTTTAATTTTCTTCGGAAAAGAAACATTGCCACGAAGTGCAAGGTTGTCGATAGCCTACGTTGTCATTCATTTTCCGGATTGTTTTAAAGATCCTCTGAAAAAAATCTAGTTTGGAAATATATTTTCAAAATATAATCCATTGTGAAATGATGAAATGAAGTCTTGACTTTTGATTGGTGAGAACTACAAATCTCTATCTTTTCTCTATCAAACGCTGTTTAAAAAACATTCAACGCTATTCTTTTTTTCACCGTTAGGTGGTGTCATCGTCTTAGATAATAACCAATCAAGAATTAGGTCATAGTAATTTTTAATAAATCCTCTTATTGCATTGTTATAACTCTACACCTGTCATGTAATTTATGTCCAAATCATCCGGTGGGTTATGATCTGAATGCAATTAAAAGATTTGACTCATTGTAAAGTTAATTTAAGCTTTATTGCAACTAAGAAAGGGAAACTAATCCACCTACCCTGACGCGGAAGCCCATTATATCAGGTGTGGGCAGATTAGTGCTTGTAATTAAAATAAATAAAAAGTTATATCAACGAGAATGTTAAATAACTAGAGTTATTAAAAAGAAGAAGGAAACAATGTGTTGTATATATATATATAAGTTTAAAAAAAAGAAATGATATATATAGTAGTTTGTATTTGTGGCGGAACATAGTACAAAAAATACTTAAATCCCTGTGTATGTCATTAGTCTGACTAACAAGAAACTCAATGTCAATTACATAGAATAGTTATAATTGCTGTTTACAAGGTTTAATAATGTAGAAAAATGTTTTGTATCAGTTATATACTTACTGACAACACGTACAACAAGTACAAAGTTATTCTTTGAGAGAGGAACTTTTAAGGTAAGAGACAATCGATCATCAATTAGCACATTAAAACAACTTGTCTTGTAACAATTTTCTGTTTTTTGCATATCTAGGTCAATGAAGTATATAATGTTCTCTTGTTTCATCTGCACTATTTTTGTTACAGACAATGGTCGTTTCCAGAGAAATACTGTTTATAGGAGAGTTGTTTTTATTAGATCTCCTATAAACAGTATTTCTCCACAAAATCGCGTTCTATCCGCTTGAGAGAGTTATACAACATCATCTTTGGTGCTTTATAACTAGCATCGCTAGTAAAAAGGACACGTTGTATACTTCGTGTCGACGTTAAAAATAAGATCGACATTTATGCATAGTATAGCTAGTAACATGTAAGTGATTACTTGTAAAGACTATTTAAATATTTACGTACGGCCTTCATACGATTCATACTATGTGTACGGCCTTCATACGAATGTACCATCATAACTCGTAGTTTCTTTTTGCACAATGGGAAAATACGTACTTGAAGAAGTGCAACGTATGAAAGATCGACAGATCGAATCTAGGAGAAGAACTTCAAAAATTGTTCTAAACGGTTGTTTCCGTTCAACCGCTTTTGTTACAAATCATTGTTCTAAAAAAAGAAATTATTGAACTATATCAGTAGTGTTCATATAAATAATGTGAAAATACAAAGCAATTGCAACTGTACTCACTATTAGTAGTTAACCTTAATTTAATTTGTCGTTTCTATCCTCTTTTTTATTTCCTTTCTTGACACTTTTTACAGAACTGTATCAGTTTCTATTTCTTGTTATTGCAACATCATACTATTAAACTAAATCATTAGTCAACCTGCTTACTCCCTAAAAAGAAACAGGTTAAAAAGTAATTATCATAGATCAAACAATGTTCAATGATAAAATAGTTTTGAAAAGAGATATCTGTTACATCATTGTGATTAGGAGTGATATAATATAGACGAGAACAATCAACTACTTCTCAATGACACAGTCAAAGATGACAGTGATCATAACGAAGTTTTTATCGTAAACTTGACTGTTGACGGTGCAACGCCTTATTTTGCCAATAATTTTGTGTCTAAGTGTTTCTGATGACATTACTCGTATGTTTTACAAACCTATATGGTTTATATAGATCTTGATAAACAGTACATTATTTTAGCTTTTCTCATAAAACGCGACTTTTGCGGATGTAACAAACGCTAGTCGAACAACATATTATCTGAGAAACTCATTACTCAGATCACATGCTATGTTCTCTAATGTCAGTTTATCAGTTGCAAAAAATCCTAGAAGGAAATCGAAAAATTGAAATAGAACGCAGTTAGATTATTACTTAAAACGTATATCTTATCTACTGACGACCGAGTCGCTTTATCCTTCTCGTTATCAATTAAAGATGGATTTTTCAAAGTCCATTGCCGATAAAATCAGTCCATTTTTTTCTACTTGATGATTGTGATATGATTCAGCGCGCTGGATTAATCATCTGTTTCTGAATCAAATATATTCCGATGAAAAGAAAGTACAAATCGTATATTCAAATACGAATACTAATTTATTAATAAAATATCTCTTGGTGGGACAATTATTACGCATTTTTATTTCAAATATGTTATTAACTGAATTCCGTTCCGAATTTTCGATCGTCAATTACATCAACTTTTTTCTATAGGACAAAGTATACTGATAATATAGACTCTTTCTGTAGGCTAATCAACTCACTTGATTTTCTTGTACTGCTTACAATGATAATTTTCATTATGCGTCAGAGATTAACAAGTATTCATCATTAGCTTTTCTATTCATCAGATAAATAACATTTCTGCTATTTCATACTGTGATACATTGACGTGTAGGTAGAAAAAAAAAACAAGTGATTAAGATATCTATATAAACGTTGAAAAAATGCAAATATATTGTATTATCTACAACAACTGCAACTAAGCACGAGAACAAATTTATTTCAAAAGTACTTTAGACAATGTTTAGGCTTAATTTTTGTGTTCTATCAATATTAATCGTAGTTGTTAGCCAAATAATTATGCACACATCTGTTACGGTGAGTATTTTTATCTTTCTATTCGGTGATACATTTTCTGGACAGCTATAAAATATAAAATTAATTTTCTATAAATTTATCATATCAAATCATTGTTTTGAATTAGTTTATCTAATGGTCTCTCTTCAAATAAGAATCGATTTTGGATACAAAACTTTGAATCTTGACGAAATCTTTACTGAATGTCAATCTTCGCTTGACTACTACTACACGAAAAAACTTTTTGCTCATCGTAGATGAACGAACGCATAGTTTTTCGAGTAAAAAGTGTAGTATTCACAAATTGAGGACGACTACAAGTATAAATTTTCTATCTTCTTTTTCAAAGAAACATGACGGTAATTTTCCTTTTCCATATAACATTTACATTATGTAGATTAGAACACTTTTGAGTACGACGATTTTATACCGAGGAGTTGCAAATTTATTCTTAAAAATCAAGTATTCTAGTACTTTTTTCGAGTAACCATTAAAAAAATTCGAAGTTCGAGTACAAGTTTCGGAAATACTAGGGTACTATTTGTGCCCGTTCATCTCTTTCGCTAAAAAGGTTCAGTTTTCCCAGAGGTTTTGTAAAATAAATATTGAAAAGTTTTTTGTCGACCGTTTGCAGCTTTTCTCCTCTATTCGAAGTGCGAAAATGTTAGGCTAAATTTTATTTTGAAGAGACAATTTTTCGGTACAGCTTAACGGAGCTCAAGTCTTGAGTTTCTTTTTAGTTTTCTAAATGAACTTTTCCTGCGAATTAGCTAAAGATTTCGTAAAAAGAGAAACTATGTCATGTTTTTCAGATAAAACTAGAGAAAATATTTGAACTCTATTAAGTTATGTCTGTTAGTCTGCTGTAAAAATAAAGCCAATCCGCCTATTTAGCAATGGAAATACAGGAGGAAGACGGGAAATAACGAAAGCTACATCATAAAAAATTGATTTTGAAAAAAACACAAAACAAGTTTTGTCCTAGAAAGCTGCTTTTTGATCTCATGAAGTTCTCAGATGAGTTATTTAAAATATTTACCTTAAGTAGTAGTAAGTGTATTATCTTCACGGACAAAATTTGACGAAGATCTGACGTGTAGTTTTCGAGAAAATCTAGCTCAAAGTCGAGAATTTTGCTCGGGATCAACACTTTGTGAGCCTAATAACTCAAAAAGGCATAGTGCTTCAGAGCTCAGCTTTGTTCTGTTTTTACACTCATTATAAAAATGCATGGAAAACCCGTTGTTTTTTTATAAAATTATATTTAATAAATAAATATAATAATATTTTATAAATATAATTATATTTATAAAATTATATTTATTTATGTAAATTATATTTTATATAATTTGCCACCGGATCAGCTCAAATGTTGAAACCTTGAAAATTATGCTACACGGACAACTTTTAGAGCTCTATTGAATGACCACTTGAAATTTTTCCAAAAAGGACTAGTTGAAATGAAAGCGATCTAGGAGGATTTTTGCTTGATTTTTCTCATCACCATCTGCACGACTTTCTTAGAAACAAAATATAGTTTTCTAGACAACTCGAGACGCTCTACAAAACTGCTATAGTAATATCTTGCCGGATAAAAGTTGCGTATAAAGTGCGAAGATCTGGGTAGAAGTAGTTCGCTAGAGTAATAGTAGTTTGCTAAACTAAAAATCTTAGTAAACTAAGTTAAAAAGAAAAGCATTTTTTGATTTTTTACTAGTGAGGTTTCAAAAATAAGAACAAAATTTCAATATACAAGTTTATTGTCTATATTTCTTTTAGTCAGCTTCAGTTATCCGCGCTTCGCCGACTCGCAAGCAAGGTGATTTCATCTTATGTTTGTTTACACCAATATCCTGTAAAAGATCCGTTGAATCTGGTGGTGTCGATTTCGATCGCACAAAAAACGATGTGGAGATCAATTCATGTATTGATAAACCATGGTTATGTTCTGACAACAAACAAAACAAATTAAATCCATTTAACAAATATTCCATTGAAGAATTAATCAACATATTCAAAGCATTAAAGAACAACAAAAATTTACAGTATTAACTCTGTTTTTTTTCTTCTTTACTTTTCTCAATCATGTATGTAATTAGGTCTTATTGTACGGTTTAAATAATGGCCATAAAAACATAATTACACCAGAAAGAATGATAATTAAACCAGAACTTAAAAATGTATACTTGTAGGCATTTTGCACATTACGCATTAATGTTATATACAAACCTAAAAGCGGAATAAAAGAGCACAGTAGGATGCAACTAATTTCTCACTTGTTCAAATTTCTTAGATACCAACCTTGTAGCGGAATTCCAATTAGTGTACTAATGCCTTGACACAATTGCAACGATCCAAATGCTTTCGGCATGTAATCGATTGTTAAAGCATCAATGATAATTAGTAGTTGTAGTGCATAATTTGCACTTATTGCTAAACCGAACACAAATGCTGATATTAAAACAACAGGTTTATATCGTGCTTCATTCAATGCTAATAGTACCAACGCGATCCCAGATAGAATAACAGCAACTGTATACATGATCCATGCTTCAATGAGTCGACGATCGTGCATGTAACCGAGAAGAATTTGTCCAATGGCCGATGCAATACCCACGTTCGACAGAGCCCACGAAGCAAAATATGATGTAGAACCATCGAATATCTCACGAATATAATTGGGTAAAAAAACATACGGAACGCCGATAACGAGACATAATAGGAAATTCGATAAGCAAAATAAAAGAAAACGACCGTTGAATAACCAATTGTCTTTTTGTATTACTGGTGCTGCTTCCTTTTCTTTGTCGAGTTCATTCATCTCACCCTCCTCTGCATCCTCTTCGTTCTCTTCTGCAATTAATGTGTTTGATATATATTCTTTTGGAGCTATTGGACATGTTGTTTCTTCATCTAGAGAATTTGTTGAATGAAATCCTTGTTCATGATCTTTTTCAATAATAACTGATGAAAATTTTTGAGAGCTCTGTAATGGTTTGAATTTCTCTATTCGTTTAAAAGTAGATGATAGCATTATCGCTGGTACAGCAATTGTATTAGAACGAAACCGTTGTTGAGCGTATTCATTGGATATTGTGTATGATCTTGGTTTTGAGCGCATAAAATTACGATCGGCTGTGAATGAACTTCGACGTTTTTCTGGTGGTGATTGTTGAGATATTTTCTGAATTGATTCCATCGTTGTCGTTGTATTACCACGAGTGGAGCGAATAGGAACTGTGGCTAATAAAATATTAGCCATTGTCATACCTCGAGTTCGACGACGTGGCAATACTTCATCAATATCAACGTCTTTTAACACAATTGTTGTTTGTTCATCATCACTGATTGTTATTTGGGGTATTTTTATCTTTTTTGTATTCTCTTCTGGTGACGAAGATGTAAGTGGTTTTTTGAATGCCAGTGCAGAGATAGTCATGGACAGGAAGACACCACCTAAAATATTTCTTGCGCTTAAACATGATAAATCTGAATAGACATAGAAAGATACCTGTGATGAGCGATGCTCCTTTCCATCCATATTTCATAATGCATGATTTGATAAGAACTGCCAATATCACTTGACCAACACCTGAACCCGATACTGCCAATCCTGTTGCTAATCCTCGATCTTCTTCAAAATAATACGGCAGTGTCAAATAAGCAGGTACGTAACAAAAGGCTAATCCACTACTCAGCAATAGTCCATAACCAATTGTTGGCATAATAATACTATTTCTTGTGCTAAAAAACGGTACCATGTACCCAATAGATGATACTAATGTGCCAACCAATGCTGTGTATCGAGCACCCCATTTCATGGTTAACCAACAGACGAATGGACTAAGTAGAAGTGGAACAGATTGTGTTAGTGCAGCTAGGATACTAATCCATAGTGTGCTACGTTTTTTTGCATTATAAGTTGATAATAACTCATCAACATAAAGTCCAAATGAAAACGTTGTACCATCAGCGAGAACATAGACGAGAAATGCAGCAAATACAATGAAAATCTGCTTCGATGACCATATAGTAACTCGTTTGAAACATTGTGTGAGTTTTGACATTCACTGACTATTAGTCAGTTAGAAGGACAATTGATAAGGCAAAAGAAAGCAATACTCTTCACTTTTTTTTCTTCTTTGTGTCTCGTTCTCCATTTTCTTAACATGATTAATAAAGATAAACATTTAAACAGTCTTGCCATAATGGAAAGGTTATCGGTCTTGTTATTAAATGTAAAAAACATACGTGTAATTAACCTTTTTTAAATCCTTTCAAGTTTAGCACTATAATGAGATTCATAACATTATTTAATGTTAGAGAACAGTGGCTACTAATAAACGGCTGTAAGAAAAACGTTTTCCTCGGAAAATATTTCATTATTATTTATCAGCAGTTTTGCTTATAAAACTTATTGTCTATTATCATAACTTCCTTCGACATGCTTTTACCTATCATCTCGCTTTCGCTGTAATAGGCTCTGAAAACTGAATACAGACATGCAGATAAGATCCATACGTACATCCAATAACTCATGAGAAAGGAAACAGAGTCTGAATGCGTATACCTTCTATGGGTCATGAGAACCAGCAGTCAAATGGTTAGATAAAATGTTTTGATAACGGATACTCGACTATTAGTTTATTGCACGATTGTGTCTAATGGGGTCTTGTCGTTATAATTTACCGCTACTTTTCGTAACAGTTTTTATTTAAATTAGAGCAAGTTTATAATATCTGAAATCAGTATTTCATACTCTTTTTCTGTCCCTATTTCACAACTTTCGTCTATGCTTTTGTGGTAATGACATTGACTAAAATAAGAGCATATAGTTTTTTACTGCGCCAAATTAGGTATGCTGATGTTGAGACATCCGGGAGAATTGCTATATATCGGTTATCAAGATTCGCTCAGAGCTGCTAAACGTCTCATTTTGTAGAAAAATGTTTCTTCTACAAAATGCATTTGTTAAAAAGATCCCAAAATTATTTCTGATAAAGCTTAGAGCATTCTAAAATGCACTAAATCACGGAAAACAAATTGGTCGGGTTGCACATCCCTAGTACCATCTGTGAAAATTTCTTGAATATGACAGTGTTCGGTTTCTTCGGTGTCGGTTAATCGACACCGATGCTTACCTATTTTTGAATGAGCTGAATCTGTCACACCTTACATCAGTAGTTGAGATTCGCCTTCATGATTGAATAGATGGTTACAACGTTTATTTCTATTCTCAAAAGCATCGAACTATCCAAATTCTGTGAAAATTTTTCAACAAGCATCGTGATACACAGAACGGCAGAACAGAAAAACAAAAAATGAATAAGTTATTTTCTTCTAAAAAAGGTGTCCAATTCATCATGTATGCGGTAAATAGAGACGATTAGTATTCGGAAGATTCCATTTGGCATATTTAA